CACGGGCCCCCATTTTCCGCCCAATCACGGCCGCCGTCTTATGCTCCGCCGCCGGCGGGTCGGTATTTTTACAGGCGGCTTTGGCAGGGGGGACGCTTGTCTCATGAGGTACATCCACCTGGGATAGATAGTGGCCCCTACGGGATATTTCCTGTACAAGTAGCTATGGGCCAGGGACGCAATGTATGGGAGCCTTTTGAGATAAAGCAGATTAGAGAACTTAAAAATGCAGTTACAACCTTTGGGCCGACTGCGCCTTACACCATTGCCATGCTGGAGAATCTGTCTTCTGGGCCCCTCACCCCCGTGGACTGGATTCAGCTGGCAAAGGCGTGTCTGCCCTCGGGCAGTTACCTGGATTGGCGAGCCTGGTACGCAGAGTTCTCTGCAGAGCAGGCTGAGAGAAACGCCAATCGGGGAAACCGGGGGTGGAACAAAGAAATGCTTATGGGAGAAGGTCGGCACGCTGATGATCAGACTCAGTTCCCCGGCGCTGTCTATGAACAAATCAATGCCATAGGGCTCCGCGCCTGGAAGCAGATAAGTGGTGCCGGAACAGCCTCCTTGTGTCTTTCAAAAATAATTCAGGGTACCACAGAGCCATTTGTTGACTTTGTGGCCCAAATGCAAGATGCTGCCGATAAGATATTCTCTGATCCGGGAGTGGCTCGACCGCTGGTAAGGCAGCTGATTTTCGAGCAATGTACAAAGGAGTGCAAGGCAGCGATAGCTCCTCATAAGAACAAGGACCTCAACGCCTGGATTAGGATATGCAGAGAGATAGGGGGGCCGCTCTCCAACTCGGGAGTGGCTGCTCTCCTGGCCGCGGCTGTACAGCAGAGGGGACCTCGCGGGTCAGGAGGGGAATGTAAGGCTAAAGGGTGTTTTGCCTGCGGGGAGCCAGGACACATTAAACGTCATTGCCCAAACAATACAGATGCTAGGCCTCGCCCTAGGAATGAAGAACCATATGTTTGTGGGCGATACAAGAGGGGATCACACAAAGCTGAGGAGTGTAGGTCGGTCTTTGATGCTCAGGGCAACCGTATTTGTGGACGAGATGCTAGAGGGCCAAAAAACGGCCAGAGGGGGCCCCCTTCACAGGCGGGCCCCCGCCCCAGAGACAGGACAGCTCAGGATGGCAGCCTTCAACAAGGGCCACCCCCGGGTCAGCAGGTGTGGACCTCAGTGTCGCCTCCAGACTTATACAGAAGGTCACCATTAGGACGGATGGCATTAGGACCCTAAATGACATGCAAAAACTATTGGGAGACATTAATTGGATTAGGCCATATTTACATATACCAAATTCAGATCTCAAACCCCTGTTCGACCTTCTGAAGGGAGACCCAGATATAGCCTCCCACAGGAGGCTCACTCCTGAGGCAAGAGCTGCCTTACAGAGAGTGGAGGAAGCCTTTGGTGGGGCTCCCTTACACAGAATTGAACCAGGGCGACCCTTTGATGTCTGTTTGCTACAGACTAGTCTACAGCCCACAGCGGTGATTTGGCAGAAAGGACCACTACTGTGGATACACCCTAAGGTCTCACCTGCAAAAGTCATAGAGCATTACCCGGAGGCAGTCGCTTCATTGGCCCTTGAAGCGCATGATACAGCTGTCCAACATTTTGGCTCAGGACCACAAGCCATCCGAGTACCCTATACCGCCAGCCAGATCAAGACCCTGGCTGCCTGCATAGATACATGGGCCATTCTGAGATGTGTTTTCCATGGGGATATAAACAATCAATACCCTAAAGACCCTATCTTGTCATTTGTCACTCAGAACCCTATAATTTTTCCAAAGGTTACTGCCTCTGAGCCATTAGTCCCAGCAACTACAATATACACAGATGGCTCCAAGATGGGGATAGGCGCCTATGTGATCCTAGGCAAGCCCCCGGTTACCATACAATTTGAACCAGATCAGCCTCAGGTGGTGGAACTGCAGATCGTTAAAATGATTCTTGAACGGTTCTCAGAAGCCATTAATATTGTCTCCGATTCTAGGTATGTGGTCAATGCTATGCAAGTGCTTGAAACTGCCGGTTTAATTAGATCCACTTCCACAGTGGCTGGGCTGTTCCTGTCTATCCAGACATTGCTTCAGAACAGACACCATAAGGTCTTCACCACCCACATAAGAGCACATACATCCCTGCCAGGGCCTATGGCACAGGGGAATGCGGCTGCTGATACTGCCACTCGCCCGTTATGGATTTTTACCTTACTAACACCAATCGAGCGAGCCCGTGCCTTCCATGATAAGTTTCATGTCAATGCCAGGACACTAGCAAACCATTTCCATGTTTCCAGAGCAGATGCACGAGATATCGTGCGACTATGTGACTCCTGTGCCACATACAAACCTGCCATACCGATGGGAGTAAACCCTCGAGGTTTGATCCCTGGTGATGTTTGGCAGATGGACATCACACATATACAGGAGTTTGGAACTCTTAAATATGTTCATGTTTCCACAGACACCTGTTCTCACGTCATATTTGCAACAGCAGAAACAGGTGAAAAAGTGTCTAATGTGATCAATCATTGCCTGGCGGCTTGGGCCGCATGGGGCAAACCAAAAATATTAAAAACTGATAATGGACCAGCCTATATAGGCAAAGCCTTCAATGAGTTCTGCAAAATGATGGAGGTTCAATTAAAACATGGTATCCCATACAATCCCCAAGGTCAAGGAATCATTGAGAGGGCTCATAGAAGCCTCAAAGAAATTTTACAAAAACAAAAAGGGGGAGTAGGCCAAGGCCTGGCCCCAAAGGCACGATTATCCATGGCACTATTCACACACAATTTTTTAAATTTAAATAATGATAATCGCTCCCCAGCTGTGGAGCACTGCAACCCTTCCCCCAACCATAAAGGGTGGGTGAAGTGGAAAGATGTCCTGACAGGACAATGGATGGGCCCGGATCCAGTGGTCAGCTGGAACCGAGGCGCGGTTTGTGTTTTCCCACAGGAACCGGGACGAGAACCACTGTGGATACCGGAGAGACTGACACGGGCAACAAAGCCCTCGACTGAAGATCAGACCTGCCCTACCGGAGATCCATCACAGACCAACCAACAAGATGAATAGAAATAGCGGTAGCCCGAAATGGACAAGAAGATCCTCAGGCATATACATGGCTCGCTCGCCTAGCCTACGACCGAGTCTAGGGGCGGTGAGCTTCCCACACTCCTCCTCTAAAAAATTATGACATAGCTGGGTAGGAGAGTCAATGACGGGTAAGAGCGTACTCCCCCGGTGCGACTCAACCTAAGCCAGGCCCTACCCCATCCTGCACGTAAGCCGCTGGACTGTTAGATGCTGCCCAGGTCTAAATTTCTCTCTGAGGGGACTTCTTTACGGAGAGGAAATGAGTGCAAGCTTGTGTGCATCCAGGTTCCGTCCAGTTTGTGCCTGGCCCTAGAAAAAGGACGAGGGCCTCAGGGCCTTGGCAGACCATGGGACGGCCGACCAGGGTCTAAGCCAAGGACCTACGGTGGGCCTACGCATAGGGCATAAGCCTCTGCACCCAGTCCAGAAAGGGCTACGATGCGCACATTCATAAAAAATAAAAAAGGGGGAGATGTTGGGAGCCGCAGCCCCGAGCCCGGTCGCCTCACTTGGCGGACGTGAGGCCTGTAGTAAAGAGCAAAGCCTGAGGTAGATTACCCCTCCCATCGAGCACGTTAGTTTCCTGCTTACCGCGTAAGCAACCCGCTCAACAATATAGTCTGCCTGGCAACTGATGATGTTAGCCAATCAGCTTGCCTTGCTTACTTTAACATGATTGGACACTGTATCCGTATATATACTGGTGCCACCCCTGGGGGGGAAGGAGAAGCCCGGAAGTAGAAGCCCAGAAGGAGCCGCGGAGAGCGGACCGGTAGAGGCTTCGGAGCGAAGCCCGGAAGGAGCCGCAGGGAGCGGACCAGAGGAGGCTTCGGCTGGGAGCGATCCCAGGGCAGGCTGTACGGAGAAGAAAAATAAAAAGAAAAGGTTGTCCACTGCCAGACTTTGTCGTGTGTCCTTCCTGCCGGCCGGGAGCGGACATCGACAAGAAACGTATCATACACTGCATTTACTTATTTTCTCAATCATAGACTTTTCAGAAGAACTAACCTATACCATTATGCAAAACACATTTATGAATTAGAAGTACAATATTTATGTACAGTGATTTCTATCTACTCAGCATGCTTGCCCAAAGTTATCTGAGTGAGTTCCTTTCTCTCCTCAACCCCTCTAGTGTGATTCTGGTACTCATTTGTCATACAGTAGGTTTATTTTTATATTTCATTTGGGCCACCCAGAGACAGTTTCTAGTCTATTTTTCCTGTCTGTCTATCTAGCACCTTCTATTCATTTTAGAGAAACATGAAACATCATCAGAGTTCTCAGAGTTGTATGTACAGAATAAAAAGTCACATTTGGAAGTCTTGTTTTCTCCTGCTACTCTGCTCCTATTCCCACCATCTTTACTCCAACCAATTTCTACAGATAACTCAGTTAACTTCTGAGTCATCTTATTATTTTTGTACAGCTACAAAGACATAACTTCTGTTATTACCTTTTCATATTAGCATGAATACATGTAAACACTTTCAAGATAATCCTTACTTAATATGTTTTAGAAAATTCTCTCTACCAGGTTTTAACAGTGGTATAAGACAAAGACATAGGGTTAATGAAGTTAAATAACCAAAGGATCACACAACTGGGAAGGGGTAAAACTGGGATGTGAACCCAAAATCCATGCACCTTAACTGCATGAGAAGTCCCCATCTGTAGCCTGACATATTCTTGGGGGCTCTCTAGGTTCTTTGAGTTCTCTTGGGTCATTCTGAAAATTAATGCAGGTATATCCTGGGCCATCTAGATGACAAGGACTGACAGGCATTCACATTGTATCTGAAAGCCATGAACCTGCCCACAGTGAATGCCATCCACGCTGTCACAGAAGGCGTCGCAGACAGAACAGAAAATAGTTACCTGGCAGCAGCCTTGGCTTGTAGTTCAGGAAAGGCAACGTGCCCCTGCACCACATGGTCTATCTAAAAACAAGAGAGTGCAGTCAGTGTTATAGCTTTTCTAATCTCCATTTAAACAGAAAAAGACACAGAATCTGTGTTTCCTTTGTCTCTTTTTCCATAGAGAATTCAGGAACATATTCAAAGTGTTAATTCTGCAAAACAGTCTCAGTTTTATACGAAATCTAGCTTTGCTTAGCCTAGTTTCAGTCTCCTGGATTTATAAAATGAAGAACTGGATTCATAAAACAAGTGTAGAGAAAAAAGCAGCAACTTTCCAGCTGAACTGGTAGCAGCAGGTAAGATTAGACCTGACGGTTAGGAGGGAGGAGGTAAGGAAAATTCACATAGTGTGGGTTCTGTCTGTTAGACGCAGCGTCTTTGGACACATCATTTCCCCTTCTAATCTGGGCTGTTACCCCATGATTATGTCACACCTTAAATTACTCATGTGGCTGTTCTCAGGAAAGGGGCAGCTCTAACAGATGGAAGGCATGAGGGTCTCATGAGTGAGTCCCAGTTAAACAGCACTGTGCTCTTCCAGGTCTGTCAGAATAGTCTCTCTAAACTGAGACACTGTTACAGGAGAAACCAGGACAGCTCTCCAAGGACAGAGATGTTTGCACTCTGCAGAGGTTGGCTTTCATCTGTGGCCCTGTGCCTAGGGTTGAATTCCTAATCTCTGTGGTGGCTCTAAATGAAACAGTATGTACTGTGCATTGAGAACACCACTGTTTCCCCAGCCTGATTCTGCGGGCTGACACAGGGCCAGTGCTGTGCTGGAGTCCCTGAACCTAATCTGAGTATTCCAAATGTTTACTTGAGTCTCTAGGACTCTAAAACAGCCATTCTGAAGAGTTTATTTTCATTCAAACTATGAGCAGATGGGTTATTTTAGCCTCATGGAGATAAAGAGCAAGAAAATTCATTCTGCAACCACAGGACCAGACATGGGCGCTGGCTCTGATTCTCACTAACTGAGCGACTTAGAGAAAGTCATTAAATTGCTTTGAACTGCCATAACCCCTTCCCCTCCTCTCCTCTAAAGCAGGATTGCTACAAAGTAGTATAAATAATATGACATAATATCTCTGTGCTACATCAGCACTGAGTTAATATTATATATACATTCTTTCACTTTTTATAGAAAGCCTATGAAGAGGGTACTGATGAGAACCCTGGGATTAAAGCAGGTTAAATCACTTGTTCACTACCACAGTGGAGCAGTGAAGACCTCAAGCTTAAATTTTTCTTTATCTAAAGTTCTTGTTCTTAGCTATATGCCATATTATCTGCTAAATTGTCTGGTATAATATAAGTTGTTAAATTCCATTCATAGAGCTTCACAGAATTATTTTAAAATAATACCAAGACCACTGGTCATTTAAATTAAAAAACCAAGCAATTCTGACTATATATTTTCTGTAGGTTTGATTGTGGGATGTGTGGCAAGGAATATTCTGGAACTTCCAGGAGTCTGCAGGCTAACACGGCAACAGGATGCACCGCTAGGATAAGTAATGGCTACCTAAAGACCTTATCTTTGGCTACTTTCACAGGCAGTACTTTTGCAGGTGAGAGAAAGAGATTTAAATGTGCCTCAAGGGTGCAGTTATTTAGGACTTACTGACCACCTAACGTGCTGGCACTGTGCATAGGCTATGGGAACACGGTAAAAAGTAAGAAATACATCTAAAACATAGCAGCACAAGTAAGGGATCAGTTATTCAGCAATTATCGTGAAGACATGAACACTGTAGTGAGGGGAAAGTGGACTGACATCTCATGGGCACTCAGTACCTCTCTGACATCTCTGGGCACTCAGTACCTCTCTGTGATGTGAATGTCGGATGAATGAGCACAGTGAAGCGTACTGTGTTCTCACACAGCACCCACAGTTCCTTGTGCTACTTGTCACATGTTACTGTGGTATCTATTTGAGCTGGACACACATTGGCAAGGTAAGTGTATGTTCAATGAGAGGATAAATAAAGTGGCAGAAATATGGGTGAATTAAGAGGGTGGATACAGGAAGTTGGTTGAGATCTCATCATGGTCTGGAGGAGTTTTTATTTGTAATACCAAGCAAAAGTTACTGAATTCTAGTAAGTAAATTCCAATGTACCACTTTCAATGTAACCCACAATGAGAATATAGAGAAAAAGACGTATCTGCAGTTGTGAGGTGTCAAGGAACTCCAAAGTTCAGGCAGAACAAAGGCTAACCAGCTAACTGGAACAAAGCCTACGACCCAGCGAAGAATCTGGGTTTTGTTAATTTGTGAAGAGGGGAGTGGCTTGGAGTTGAGTGACTATGAGAATGCTGAGAGGAATATGAGTACTGTGAGCTGGGCTGGGTAAAAGATATAATGCCACCTCTGAATTATGCAGAGAGGATGCAGAAAAAGCATCTGATTCTCTTTCAGGTAACCTCAAGTTCAAGGGAATCAGCACCGTGCTGGTTTGAGGAAGTGTCTTGTGTTTTGGGTCAGCTGCTTCAGCTCTGGTGTATAGCTTTTAATGCCCAGGAAGCTCATTTCCTCTTTGCTGAGGCTCAGTCCCTGCCAAAAGTGCAGTCAGGTGTCTCTCAGCCCAGCTCCTGTTTAGTATTAGGGATCTAAAGGTGGGGCATCACTAACCTGTCACGTTGCTTCAAAAGCTATACACATCAGCCTTTCAGCCAGACCCATCTGAATTGCTTATAGCTAGTTGAGGGCATACAGCATTTTCCTAGTCAGCCCTATACATATCAGTATACTTGGAAGTAGGGCAAAGATGAATCACAATGGAAGCAAACTGTCTTCTTTCAAGGGCGCCCTAGTCCTCCACAGGTGGGGACAGACAGTGGGTTTTGAAAGTGTTTATGCTTCTGAAGGTCACAGGAAGTGATTTTAAATTGGAGAGTAAAATGCTAAGTGAAGGAAAACTAATCTGGCAGGATATGTAGGGCTGGGAGAAAAGCAGACACAGTGAGCAACAAGGCAGGCAAGGTCCACAGCCTGTCTCGGCCCTCCTGTAATGTACATAAAATGCTGCCATGATCATTAATTTACAGATCTGCTCCTTACCTTAGACTCGGGGCTCTCTTATAAGCAAAATCCTCAGTAGTTCTATTTTCCAGTGCTTATGACAATGCCTAGATCTTGAATGAATAAATGAAGCATATTATGAAGAAAATGCAAGCTTAGAGAATGCCTGGTATAGAATCAGGTGACTTTGAACTTCAGAGTTGGGTGTCTCTGAACTTTGAGTCTCAGAGTAGGAATTGTTGCTGTATTAATCCCGCCTTTTCATTTTCTGCATCCCTGATACTTAGATCTCATAGCCTTGCTGACCTGGGAAGAATGCCTCCCTCAAAGCTGGCCAGCTTCTGGATAGAATGGACATCCCTCTCAGAAGAGATCCTATCAACTCAGAGCTTACTCCACACACCTCCATCCTCAGCTGGCTCTCAAAGCACTGTTCTGCTGAAATCACCCCTGGCTGGATGCCAGACACAGTGAACAACTGTTCACTCTCAGCGCCTACAGCAGTTATTCAAGGCAACCAACACCAAGCCTGTTTATTTACCTGCCTATTCTTCCCTCTGAAAACCAAAGTTTCTGGCCCACATCCTACCCTCATTCCCTCTGCCTTCTGATGTAGCCCTACATAGCATGATGTCTTTCTCACCTGCTGAACTGACAATAACAAACTGTCTTTCTAATTGCAGTTGCTTATTAGCCTCACCATACCTGAATAATAAGAAATGTTTTAGAGGGGCTGGGGATTTAGCTCAGCGGCATAAGCACCTGCCTTGCAAGCAGGCGGTCGTGAGTTCGATCCCCGGTACCGATAAAAAAAGGAAAAAGACAAAAAAAAAAAAAAAAGTTTTAGAGCATGTAAAAAACAAAAATTTTGTAAAGATACATGGTTTCAGTTTTGCAGTCTATAAAAACTTTTTGGATAAACCCTCTGAGACTCATTTCCTACACCTGCAAAACAGGGGAAATAATGTGTGCTTTGCAGGCAGGGTTCTAGCAAGGGCCTGTGTTTCAGTGCACAGCACTTAAGATGAAGAGGAGAAAGGGCAGAAAGGCAGAAATGCTTGGGGGAACAGGGTTCCCAATAGGCGGCTTCACACTCTCTTCTCGAGTGTCTGGTGGTGAAGGGCTCCCTTAATGAAGGAAGAGTGAGTTGCTCATGCCAGCTCATTTCAACAGCAGGAACTGTCCATTCCCTGGGCTCTCAGGGAATGAGGTTCTAATTTGCACCACATTTAGCACAGTACAGAAGAACACAGTCCCCTCTTCGCAGTTGTGCCCAGTGAAATAACCAGATTCACATTTAATGACTGTCTTGGCCAAGAAGTTGCCTCAGAAATGCAGACAGAACCAGTCCAACTGGGACTATTTTCTCGTTCCCCAAGCTCTCCAATTTCAGCGTGAGAGCAGGCAGCTGCTGACAGCAGGCAAGGCCAATTCTGCCGTGGTAGGAGGAGAGCTTGAATTGGAGCCAGTTGGTTTTTAGGTGTAGAAAAGGATAAGGAAGTCCCCTTACAGGAGATCATCTGAGGCCGCAGGCCCTTCCTTAGGAAGGTGTCATGGGCTCTGGGAATGTGGGGAAAAGGCGATTATAGCTGAACAAAGTATAGACTGTGACTGGTCTATGAAAGATGAAGTGAAAGATGCCACCTGTCCTGCAGATCCATTTTATTTGGAATACACAATGTTTAACAAATGAGTCAACATTTTAAACCCTGAAAGTCCAGATTCTGGTTCTCTCTAAGACCTGCAGAGTATAGAACACTGTGTTATAGACAACTGAGATAGAAATATTATAGGAGTCAGACAGGGCTAGGCCCTCTAAGGAGCTAGTAGAGAAGGTCAAATACCTTTCAGCTGTGGGGGAGACAGACACCTCTCGCTGTGGGCCAGATCTCAAGACAAAAGATAAATCAAATGTACCCACATACATCCTAAGGATAAGCATCAGGAATTGATATTCTAAATAGGTCTCTATCACCCCGAGGAAGCCAAGAGTCAT